TCTTCTCCCAACCGATGTTGGACTTTTTGTTTGCTCCCAACAACAATGTCTTTAAATAAAATGTAAGACGTGATTTTTTAATACTTTGATGACTTGACGTAGTTATAAATTGATATGTTATTAAGTAGAAGATTCGATACGACATGACAATCACTTAAACAATCTAATTTGGTACATGGGAGACAAGGTGAGGTTTGAAACTAAAATTGAAGTTTAGGGTCCAAATGAAACTAAACTAAATCTTATTGGCCCAATTGGAAGTTCCAATCTCGAGCTTAGAACATTTTCAATCGTGATTAGGGTTGGGCGTGGGTTGTGTTGGATTGGTTTTGAGTCCAATCCAAACACAACCCAACATGTTCGGTTTGACAATAATTCAAATCGAAACCAATCCATTCACGGTTGAAACCCAACCTAATCAAAACTAACCAAGTTCGGGTTTGTTTGGGTTAGATTGTTTGGTTTGGACTTGAGTCCAATTCAAGTTGAACCCAAATATTCTTTTGTTGGGCAATTTTTTTATGAGCCCAATGGTTATGACTTTTTCGTTAAATTTGAACATTTTATTTTAAAATTTGATACCATTTCATTTTGGATTAATTTCAGTTACATTAAAAAGGGAGATTTGAAAGGCCTTAAGTCGGTTGATGTTTAATCAATGGTCTGTGGGTTAAGTTCCATTCCAATAAAACATTTAAATTAAAAATATTGTAAAATCTGTTAAATAAATTATACTATAATCAAATTAAATACATATTAAATCAATCTAAATACATGCATACTATACGTATTGAATAAAATGAATTTAACCTAAATACTAAAAATGTAAATCTTCTCCTTCAATCTAAGTATTTAGTGAAAAATCACATCAAAAAATCTAGTCAAGAAGTCGAGGCACGAGCAGCAATGAGAGGCAGAAGAGACAAAATGCAGAAGAGACCTGAGGTAGAGGAGAATTTTGATCATTAGGTTTTAGATTTTTAAGTACTAATTTTCTTTTCAATATTTTGTATTTTATTAGGTTGAGTTTGATTGAGTTCTAATAGATAACCCGGAATCCAACCGAAGCCGATCTAAAATTTGATTTCCTAACCCGATCCGACCCAATTGAACTAAAAAAACCAACCCAAACTGGTTGGTTTGGGTTGAGTTGATCGATTTGATTAGTTCGGATTGATTTTTGTCAAACCCTAATCGTGATGTAAAATAGATTTAAATGTAATTTAGATCTTCGAAGTGGTTGAAATCCTCTTCAATTGAGAGATGTAAAGGAAATGTAAATTGTATTTTTCGACAGAATTTTTTTTTTTTTTACATCCAAAAGAGGCAAAAAATGAATTTTGAGTGTGTTTGATTGACTTTATTTTCCATGGAAAAATATCATTTTTCAAATTCTAACTTTTGGGGTGTTTGATTGACAATTTTTTTCATGAAAAGTATTTTCTAACTTTTGGTTATGCATATTTTCTTAAAAAATAAGGACAATATTTTCTTTAGGAATAGATTGTTTTTATTTTACAGGTAAATCACTCTCTATCCCTCTCTCCCTCATTTATCCCCTTTCCTTCATCTACACACTAAAAAAAATTGACAAATATAATATTTTTTAGGTTGAAAATTAAGTCAATTAAATATATTTAATTATAATTTTTATACAAATAAATTCTAGACAATTGAATTGTCTAAAGTTTTTAATTTTCATGTAAATTCTATGTTCTTAAAACCCATAGTAAATACAGTCAACGCAAATCATCGGCTATTCAAAAGGTCCACATTACCGTCAGCGCTAAATCCTCGCAACGCATTTCACGATCCACCGACAGCAGTAAAAAAACAGGTTGTCCAGAAAATTTTGCGCACATAAATCCGTGATCCCAAGCAATCTATATCAATCACAAAAAAAAAAAAAAAAAAAAACACTTAGATCGCTTTGACTCATTGTCTTCTTTCTCANAAAAAAAAATCTGTTGGAAAATCTTTATATGTAAATTTTTTAAAAAAATAGTTTTTTTTTTTTTTTCTCTCTTGAACACATCAAGTAAGTTTCTTTCCATGTCCCTCTCCATTTTATATACCATTCAAATCTAATCAGTAACAAAATCTGATAACTATGTAAATGTGGTATACAGTTGCTTGATTTGTTCTTTTCTTTAATTAGTTTTGTGGGTTTCTAGCATTTTTTTTGTTTTTTGCAGGGTGAACAATTCGTGACTGAAAATTATGTCCAGTGGTGCAGATTTGCATCCGAGCGGTGCTGAGGTAAGAGTTTCTGATTCAATTTGTGAGAATACGAACAATGGCAATGAAAATTGCCGAAATGGGTTTTACCCGAATGCAAAGAAATTCAAGATTTTCATAGGGTATGATCCGCGGGAGGATCTTGCATATGAGGTCTGCCGCTACTCTCTGTCGAAGAGATCCTCAATCCCTATTGAGATATTCCCCATAAAGCAATCTGAATTGCGAGAGATGGGTGTTTACTGGCGCGAGAGAGGGAAATTAGAGAGCACTGAATTCTCATTCTCGAGGTTTTTGACCCCATATCTAGCAAATTATGAAGGATGGGCCATGTTTGTTGATTGTGATTTCTTGTATTTACGTGATATTAACGAACTAGTGGATCTGATTGATGAAAAATACGCAATAATGTGTGTTCAACACGATTACACACCTAAAGAGACAACAAAAATGGATGGGGCAGTTCAAACAGTGTACCCAAGGAAGAACTGGTCTT